GGTGTGTAGGTGTGAAGAGGTCCCAGGTCCAAATACCTCAGGACTCTGTCTCAGCCACAGTCCTAGTCACCAAGCAGGAGTTCCTGATCCCTAGCATTCCTGGCATCTGCTGTATTCAAAAGCTGGCATCGCACCAATGTGCTCCCTGCTCTACAGCATTTACTGCACAGGGATCAATCCCTACCTTCTTCCTTTGGAGTCAAGTGCAGGGTGTGGGTGTGAGAACAGGTGTGGCTGGTTTCTCTGGTGGCCCCAGGCCAGCACAGCGAAGCAGCTGCTCCACAGATCAGATCCATGAATGCGATGAAGCACTTCACTAGGACTGTGACACAGCCAACTGCAGTCTAAGGAGCTGCCTCTTAGGTGCCTGTCTTTACTTATTGTCACTAGGGTCCTGGTCCTTAGCTGCCCGCCTAGCTAGGCCTTGCCTTCCTTATGTTTCCAGGTACAAACTGTGCCAGTGACTCTTGGCACAGTGTTCATAGCTCCCCAGAGTAAGAGGGGTCTGCTTGGAAGTGTAGCACCTTGCTGGCAGAGTTCTTTGCCTTTGCCCATGAGGATGTTCTCAGGGGCAGACAATTCCAGGGACAAAACAGAATGAAGAACCAGCCCACAAGCCCTGGGCTCCTCACGCCATTTTCACAGAGAACACTATAGCTCTGAGGCAGCTGCGTTGCGTTCCCTTCCTGAGGGCTGTGGTGTAGAAGGCCAGGAGAGGATGTGCCCTGAGCTGGCACTGGCCTGCTACATTTACAGTTCCTTGTCCCACCCCTACCCTCCTTCTCTTCTCAGCCCCCAATTCCCTCACCTGCCCAAGCTCCAGGTTCTGTGCTCAACACCTTCCTTGCAACCATGAAACACTCGTGGTTGCCTAAGGGATTCTTGTTCAATCCTCACTCAAGTGAGGTGAAGCAATCACATTCATTCCTCCGCATTCCAGACAAAGAAACTGGAGCTCAGAGAGGTGAAGTCACTTGCTCCAAACCACTGAGCAGTAGGCAATGGAGTTGAGATGTGTGTCTGGGTTACCCCATCTGCCTTAACTCTTCTTCAGCAGTCTAGCCACACAGGTGGGGCAGGAAGTGACTCTCCTGCTACACTGTTCTCCAGGTGTGCATGTAGAGAGCTGGTCAGGAGCTGCAGTTTTGCCCATAGGCATCAGACTAAGGTATACCTCAATGCCAAGAAAACTCAATAAACTGGAGAGGATCAGGCCACAGGGGCACACAGCTGGCTCACGCTGGTGTATCAGTGGAAGGACACTGTACAACAGGAACTTACATGCAAGGTCTGAAGATGCCGGCAGGTCTGGAGGGAATGCCCGGTAGATCCCCCTTTGTCTACCCCTCACACTTCCAAGTAGGATTCTCAAGACCCAGAGTCTTCTCTAGGTGTATGACAAAGACTTCGGAACACTCAGGCTGCCTCTCCATAGAGGAACTCTACCCAGGACTTCAAGGGCTTGTAAACAATTCTCAGAGGTCCTAACTATTATTTTCAGCTTGTCAAAAGATGTGTTTTAGCTACCTTCTGAGTCTTCACACAGCAGCAGTGGAAGCCCCTGTCAGCTGGAATCTTCCAGACAGGGCTACTTAGTCTTAGTCTTACTAGACAATGAAAGGGGGTAACCCAGGGGGGAGTGATATCCCTAAGCTCTGTCTTCTTGGACTCATTTTTTTCCCACAAGTCATCACAACTCTGTAATACAGGCCACTCAGGACACTGAGGGTCCAAATGGGTAACACTTGCTCACTTGCTGAGGGCCACCCAGCTAGGCAGTGATAGGGCCAAAGCCCAAACCACAACTGTCTGGAGCAGGGACAGGGCCTCACTAGATGGTGGAGGGACGTCCAACACTGAGCTTGGGGACTCACTAGTGGCCCAGCCTGCCCTGCAGGGGGGAATTGGGCCTCATCAGCTTATTCTGAGAGACGGGGTGGGGCGATGTGATAAGTGTGCTTATGCAGCCCTGACCAAGGGGATAGCGCTCTCAGGGATTTTAGGGGACGGGGATGACTTGGTGTTTCCCCAACGCTTTTGTCGCCCTTGTAGAGCGCACCCAAACTCAACAGCGAAACCAAGAGGTGTCTTAAAAGCTTAATAGCTGTCAGCTTAGGATCGGGCCGTCACCAAGAGCTCGTTCCCGGCAAGCCCGGCTCCTAGGCATTGTGCACAGCACTCCCACCCAAAAGGCCGACGGTTGCCTGCTTTTCCGCTGCGGCCCGCCCTAGGTAGGACCCCTCGCAGGCCGGCGGGGGGCGCGCACGCCCGGAGCCGCTCCAAGCTGCAGACCGAACTGTGAAACACCCCGCCCCGCCCGCCCGCTCCCCGGCGTCAGGGCTCTCTGCGAGAGAATCGGGGCACCCCAAAGCTCCCGGGACAATCGCCGAAGCTTTTTAAAAGCTGCCCCGTTCTCTGGCTCCGGAGCCCTGACGAGCCCCCGAAGAACCGCGCCTAGGACAGTTTCGGAGCGATGTCCCAGTACTTCGACTGTCCGTCCTCCCGCCTTGCGGGAAACTCACCCCCCGGGGCTCGGCCCACCCCAGTTCACCCACCGTGCACCAGTTTCCGCATGTCCTGGTAACGAGCCCACAAGTGCGCGCCGAGGTCGGCGCTGCCTGCGGGAGCCGGGGAGGGCGCGGAGCGTGGGGTACCGGGGCAGGGGGCGCCAGGACCTGGCGGGCCGCAGCCAGGGCAGGAGGGCGCGGACGAGGCGGCTCGCGGCCCGCCGTGGCCTCCGCACAGCAACCAGCGCCGAGCGGCCGCCCACAGCCCCGCACCAGCCATGCCCCCTGCGTGGCCCCGCCACCCTCTGCCCGTCAGCTACCCCGCCGCCCTCCGACTGCGCGCCCGCCACCGTGGCCACGTGCTCTTCGCGGCGGCGAGCCAATGGGCGCGGCGCGTGGATCCGGCCAGCCAATGGGCTTGCCCCTTGCCCAGGGGGGCGGGAGGCCCGGGGGGTGGGGATAGCCGCCCCTTCCCCCTCCCCCAGTCCCTGGCGCGGCTGAGGGCTCGGTGCCCCTCTTTGGCCGTCGCGGCGGTGATGGCGGCTCCTTCTTGATTCTAGAACCTGAGACCGGCAGTCCCCTCCAGGCTCCAGACGGCAGGGGCACAGAGAAGAGGGGCTGGAGTGCGCGGGGTCCTGGGGACCTGGGGCCTTCTTCTCTTTACCCGGGTTCTTCGGTGCCTCAGCCTCCCCTCTCCCCCGTCTTCCAGTCCTGCCTCGCGGGATTCTGTTCTCCGGCCCAGTCAGACCAGACTGCGTGCTGTGCAGAGCCCGGGCCACTTTGCCCACTTACCTGCTGGATAAAGCTCTCTTCCCGCGCCTGGGGTGCCAGTCTCACAATAGCTGGCATTAGCAGCAGCCTTTCCTTTCTGCCGCTTGGTGCCCACACAGCTGACTTCTTACCTCCACCCAGAGTGTGCATGCACAGCAGGGCTGTGGCTGGGAAACCCTGCGCACAGCTCCTTATGGCCCTCCTGCTGCAGGTCCCTTCTAAGTTGCTGCAGTCTGTTAAAGCTGGACTTCATAATGAAATTCCTCTTCCCTGCTTGGAACAACTGTGCCCGCGTTTTTCTGCCCACATCCATTTTGTGGCCACGCACTAGGAAGACCAGTCCAGCAACAGTGGGCTGTGGGTCAGCTGGGTAGATTTCTTTGCTGGGATGGCTTCTGTGTAGATGAAGACCTGCTGCACCTGAGAACCTACTGTGCCAGTCAGATCCTCTGGTCTGCTGCTGGTAGGGATTGAGGTCCAAAAGGTGGGTTTGTGGGCTGCCGCCTCCCCACAGGCCCCAGTGAGCTAGGTGGGTGCTGGAGACTTATGCGAAAGGTCTTTGGGCAAGTGGATGTCCTGCATGGTCCAGGCCTCTAAACCACCACGTTAAACACGTTAAGCTAGTGCCAAGCAGTTTGTGTGCATGCTTCCTGGCTAGCCTTCAGGGTTGGGTTGCAAGGCAGCCCCTAAACATGCTCAGGACCAACCTATGACCCTTCTTCCCTGCTTGCCCTTTTTGGGGGGGCAGTCCGGGGATCAAACTCATAACCTCACGTTTGCTAGGCAGGCACTCACGCCACTGAGCTAAATCCCCAGCCCCAGCCTGCTTTCTTCTCAGTCCGCTTCTGCCTACTTTGTGTCCACAAAACCATCTTACTGGTTTTCCGCCATCATTTGAGTGTCTTACGTTATCTAATAGTTGTCTCCCGTCTCAAAGCTATTCCTCTGGTTATTTTTTTCCTCTGGGTATTTTCAGCGAGGGCAGTGATACAGCATGAAAGGGTAAAATAAAGTGAAGACTGGGATCAGAGTGCCATTCCCAACTTCTCCGTTAAGGAACACACGTGTAGAACGAGGGCTCAGGACCTCCTCATTACTAGTATTACGTGCAGCTAATGTTAACTGATGAGTTACTCTGCTGCTGGCCCTGTGTTCAGTGCTTTTTATTATTTCACTAAATCGTCACAGTATCAGAGAAAGACCCTGAGCCGCACACCAGTTGAGTAACCGTGGTGTCGTCTTTGCAATACTGTGAAGACGATGCACTCAAAACATCCACACGTGTCTCATTGATTTTAGGGTTATCACAAAATGCTTACTTAGAATTTCCTTGCGATTTATCTTTAGATCGGCTTTGAACAAAGCATATCAAATTCTGTTGTTTTGGAAGTCTCAGCATCAGTCACGTTCCGGAATAAAAGCAAGGAGTTGGATAATTGCATCTGAGAGTATGGTGGAGAGTGCATGTTTACTGCCTAATAGAGGGTCGCTATTTCTGTCAGGCTACTAGGAAAAAAATATGGCGGTGGCAGAGTAGGCAGCGCGGCAGCCAACCTGAGCCTAGGCCTACTCGGTGGATATAGTGCAGTGGGGCCGGCCGCGCCACGTAGGAAGCTCCGCCCCCTGGAACAACCTCACGGAGCATGCGCCATCCAACAGTACTCTAATTGGCGGATCGGCACGCCTCGACGCACATTCTGATTGGTGGTGCCAGGTCGGGAGGTCACCTTCCACCCCGCCCCCCAGTTTCGCGGCTGTCTAGCAGTTGCAGGCGTGTTGCGCTGGTCGGGTGGGCTTGATTGCACCCAGGCATTGTAGCTACGCGTGAGTTCGCTGTATTTGTCTTCAGAGCCACAGTCGAACATGTTCTTCAGGGCCCAAGTGAGGCGATTTCTTCAGAGGGTTCCCGGGAAACAGCGACTTGGCGTCTACAGGTTCCTGCCCTTCTTTGTTGTCCTGGGAGGAACAATGGAGTGGATCATGATTAAAGTACGCGTGGGCCAGGAGACTTTCTGTAAGTGGGGGTGCAGCAGCCTCCGTTTCCCTTCAGGACGGCACGAGGCGGCAGGGATCACTTGTTTAGGGGTTATTACATTGTAGACTGTTCAGCCCTCTAAGCGCCGAACTGAGTTCTCACCCTTGTTGGAAGGACAAGTGCGGTTCCACTCCCTGGCAGCTTTAGGGCAACACCGGCTGGAGGCGCAGCACTTTTTTGTCTACCTCGTACATTGACGTCCAGCTTTATGTCCTTTTCTGCAATTTTGAGGGGAGAGCATATTCCTCGTCAAGCCACCTTTCCTCCTGTCAAGCCTGCCTTTTGCCCTTGCTGGTTATATTGTTTGGGCCTAAGGACAGGATTGCTCACAGCAACAGAATGAGGGTGGATCTCGAGGATTCATGGAAATCTCTATTGGCCTATTCTCTCACAACTCTAGCCCAAACTTTGGAAGGGGCTGGTCTGGTAGGTTAGCTAATTACCATTGTCTTTACAGGGCACCAGGCCTTTAGCCTGGAGTCAGGAGCTCAACATTGAAAAGAAAGCCTACTATTCATTTGTAGGCCACTTCTCTGTTTAAGGAAGAGTTCTCCAAGCACTAAATTATTTCTGCTTTGTCTCTCTCCAGAAACATTATCACTTGTGAATTGGCAACTTTCATGTGTAGTGTTTCCTCCATACATTCATCCATTATTTAATGAGAACCCATGAGAGATTCTGATGGACAAAGCAGAGGGTCTTACACTCTGGCAGAACTAATGGGAAGGCCAGATCCTAAAAGTTATCTTCAGGGGTTGTAGATCAGTAGTAGACTGAAAAGCAAGCAAGCAAACAAAACCATTAGTGCTTTAGGTTGAAGTGCAAGAATAACTAAGTTCTCGGTGGGCAGGTACCATGTTAGATGGGCTCTCAAGACCGTCAGCTAGGGAGTTTCTGAGGAATTGTTTTCATGGCAATGGCAAGAGAAGGCCTGGACACCTTGAGTATATGCTGTTTGACTGAAGCAGATGAAGGGTGAAATAGCTACGAAGATGCCTAGGCAGAGCCACAAAAGCACTAACATACATATTCCTTGGGCTATTTTCTTAGAAACACATATTATAGCCAAGGATCGAAAGGTTGAGAAGTGGCTCTTTGTGGAGAGATTTGTATGGACACACAGGTTGAGGTGGTGGCCTGGTCTAGGCTAGAGAAGAGATACCAGGAAATGCATGAAGCTGAGACAGTCTAGGATAAGTGCTGACAAAGTGTGGCAATTGAGTGCGCTGAAAAGATATAGAAGATAGAGAGGCTTCTGGGGGATAGCTGGGGCAAAGGTGGTACTTCTTTTGCTGGTACAAGACACAGGCTGGGTAATCCTGGCTTTCAGTAGAATGGGCTCAGCTGTAGACACACAGATCTGAGGCCCAGGAGGCACATCGGGCCAGAAATCTGGCTTGGTGGACCAATCACAGGTGAATTGTGATGTGTGTGTCAAACCTTAGTATGTTGAGGTTGACTGTAAATGGCCAGAGAAGCAAGGAGGGATACCAGGTTATCACAGAAGACAGGTGGTTAAAGAAGTATGACTATGTGAAGGAAAAATAATCCCCAGTCACAGAGACTGGAGGTATACAACTGCTGATCACAAGCAGAGAGTAGAGAGAGGCTGGACACCTAGACCCTTGAGAAGGTGCATGGGGCCAGTGCCTGATAGGATAACCTGCCCTTGGAAGTTAGTTGGAAGAGTACTTTGTTAACACAGGACAAGAAGAGCCTTTGAGGGGCCCATTTTTCTCCTTTTCCTTTGCTGTACAGTACTGAGGATTGAACTCAGGGCCTTTACACTTAGCTACATTAACAGCCTTTTTTTGAGTGGTTCTCACTGCTAAATTGTCCAGGCTGGACTCAAGGTTTAGATCCTCCTACTCCCAGAGTGCTGGGATTGTAGATGAGTGCTGCCTTGCCCAGATAGAGGGCAGGTTTTTTTTTTTTGTTACCAGTACCAGGGATTGAACTTACTACCGCCTGCTTACAAGGCAGGTGCTTATGCCCCAGGGCTAAATCCCCAGCCCCAAAGGGCAGTTTTTAGTTAAGGATGATTTCAGAGAGCAGACTAGAAACTCATAGGAGAAGTAAGTGAGGGAATTGTTAAAAGACCAAGGTATACCAGGACCTGATCCTCTCTTTGAAGGTCATGATATCTACCCTGTCATTTAAGTCTAGAACTCCATGAATATAGCCCTCATTTGTTTTGTTTTGAAGTTTATTTTGGCATTGAGTTAAACAATGTTGAGATTCAGAAAAAGATGACAAGTTTACTGGTTGAATTACTCAGATTTTTAGTGTCTTAAAAATCTAAGAAAAATTTTTGTTTGATACAGATGATGTCTACCGTAGAAAAGCCTCAGAAAGGCAGTATCAGAGAAGGCTGGAAGATGCATCAGAAACTGAACTTCAGCAGTCAATAAAGTGAACATGAATTTTACTACTGGTTCTAGCTCCTTTAAAAATGTACTCATTAGCACTCATTCCACACAGCTTGTCCTGTAGCAGCTGTATACTATTCTAAGAACTGCTTTTACAAAGCATTTCCATAGTTCTGCAGTCTCTGAAGAGTTCTTGTCACTATTGGACAGTATTTTTATAGAAGGCGATTTTCTCCTTAAAATATGCATCTAATGGCTGTAGTCCATGAATAAATCTAGTCCATGAAAGATTTAACAATTGAAAGATCAACTGGGATGCTTTTCACAACAGTCTAATTATTGTAAGGCCCTTTTTCTCCCATCCTGGACCTTAGGCATGCTAGGAAAGTGGTCAAGCAGTGAGCTACAAACCCAGCCAAAGCACCTCCCCCTGCCCTTTTGAGACAAGGTCTAGCTATGTAGTTCAAAGCTGTCCTAAAACTCCTGGTAATCCTCCTGTCTCAGCCTCCCAAGTGCAAGTGCTGGGATTACAGGTGTGGTCACATGCCTGGCACCTTTGTTTTTGGTTCTGAGGACTGAACTCACAATTTGTTCCTTGCCAGGCAGGCACTTTTACTGATGAGCTAAATCTCCAACCCTTTTGTTTTTTTCACTCTTTTAAACAAATAATGCTTTTTTGTCTTTATTTTTTTTGAGACAGGGTCCTGCTATATAGTTCAGGCTGGCCTCAGATTTACTAGTCTAGCTTGGCTGTGAACGCCTGGTGATTCTCCTGCCTTTGCCTCTCAATGGCTGGGATTACAGGCATACCTCACCATGCCTGGTGATAAATTTTTTTTTTTTTTTTTTTTTTTACAGAATTCAGGTTAAATAATGGATGTCAAAGATCTCCAGTGCAGTATCGCCTAAACTAGAATAATTATGCAATTACATTTGTCTGCTACCAGCTTGTCTACTTTTTACTACAGTGGTGGGAATTCCTAAATGACTAGTATGCATTACTCATGGTAGTTAGTACTCTTGTGAACTCCCTGGCACAGGAAGGCAGGTCCATGACTCACACCCCTTTATAATCAAAATACTGCACTTAAAACCATAAAGAGAATTTACCTAAGAAAGCAACCATAGACTCGAGACAGGCAAGAGGTCCAGAGAGATCTGCCAATCTGACCAGCTGTATATTTGGGGTACCACTGGAAAAAGCAAAGGCATTTTTTATGTATATTCAAATCTTTTCAAATAAGAAAATGTCCACTTTCTACAGAAAGTTCTGAAAGTTCCTAGCTGTTAGGAAAGAATAAACAAGGTGGTGGTGAAGACTACAGAACAGCTTTAATTTTCTTTGCCACAAACGTCTCTTTAAAGTTTTTCTAGTTTTTTTTCTTCCTAATCTAAGTTCACCCTAGTACCAGTTTTGTGTAAATTAAGAACAAGGGACTTGGAGCTCATCAAAGTACTTCCTACAGCAAGATCAGCATCTATTGGGAGGTGTCCTGTGTGTGACCACTTGGAGTACCAGTGAGCACCACGTGCTGCATCATTTGGTCCACTGTGTTGTCTAGTTGTAAACATAACCTTAGATATAGTGATTAGACTGTTGTCTAAGAAATTACAGCAGGAGGAGGTGGGAGATTACAAATTCAAATTTTAAATCATGCCTGGGCAACTCAGCAAGACCCTGTCTCAGAATTAAAAATATTAAAAAGGACTGGGATGTGAGTGCTCCTGGGTTCTCAGGACTGGGGAAGAAAAGTGGTACAATTCTCAATGATATGGCCACATTTGTTATGTTCTCTCCCAGTTTTAGAAGCTGAAGTATATTTGATACACAATACATGTAAAACACTTTTTGTAAAAAATAGTAGTAAATGCCAATAAAACTGTTAGCTAACTTCTTTTTCTGTCGTTCCTTTCCTGGCATAATTCTTTTCCCCAGAATCAATCACTAGCCTGAATTCTGTGTTACCCTTCTCTATGGTTTTCCTTACTGTTTTTCTCTTCAGAATGCCAATTTTTGTTTTATTTTTTTGATGGTCTCATTATGTACTTCAGGCTGACTTTCGACCCACTATGTAACCCAGGCTGGTGTCAAACTCAACGACCATCCTTCTGCCTCAGCTTCCTGAGTGCTCAGATTCTGGGGATACTACCACAACCAGCTCAGAATACTAATAATAAACTTTTGAAAATATAGCACAATGTCTGACTTTAAGGTAGGCAGACTATAGCAAAGCGGTTATTTTCTGTAAGACACATTTTCAGAGCCTTTTTGGATACAATGAGGAAGAACTCATTTTTTTTTTAAACTTTTTTTTTTTTAATCGGTACCAGGGATCGAACTCACAACAGCCTGCTTGCAAGGCAGGTTCTTATGCTGCTGAGCTAAATCCCCAGCCCCTGAACTCATTTTTGTTAAGGTGCAAAGTTGTTACTTTGCTGCATTCTGTATTTTTTTTGAAGTGTCATACTAGGCAAACACTGTACTGCAGCTATCCCAGTCTTCCCTCAAATCTTTTAATCTCCTGGACATGGTGTCAGATACCTGTAATCCCAGCACATTCGGAGTCTGAGGCAGGATTGCCATACATTGAGGGAAGGCAGGTGTACATGGTGAGCTCAAAGCCAGGTTAGGTTACATAGTTCGACTCTGTCTCAAAAACAAAGCAAAACAAAAATGCCAAAACCAAAAAACTTTTTACTTTATTAGTAATATATAACTACCTTATGTATTATATATACATTGAAACTACTGGTGGAAATTTAAAACGAAGAAATTTATAGTGCTGCTATATGCTGAAAGTGGAATGGCAGTGCCCCCTACTGAGCTGTAAGACCAAAACAGTTTTAATAAATTCAACTTCAAAAGCTCTAGCATGAAAATCTAATTAGTACTTATTGATAGAAATCCACCACCACTATCTGTGATACAGGGCTTTGGAGTTTCACTTTATCATCTGAATTGATCTGGGAAGTACCTAAATTTGATACATAGTAAATAATAAAAAAGGGTTATTTTTGTCCATCTAGCAGTTTCATCTTTGGAAGTTTTTTATTTTTTTTTAATCAGTACCAGGGATCAAACTCAGGATCACGGGCTTGTAAGGCAGCCTGCTTATGCCACTGAGCTAAATCCCCAGCCTGGAAGTGTTTTGTTTTGTTTTTGGTACCCAGGATGGAACTCATGACCTTGCACTTGCCAGGCAAGCACCTGTGCCACCCTGGTCCCATCTTGGACTTTTCACCTAGACCCCTGATTGATTCCAGTAAAGCAGTATCAGGGTTTAGACTGCACATGCATATAAAATTTGAAATTTCTTACCACATTTATGTGTAATCCTTAAGATACACCAAAACAGGAAAGGGATAGTCAATCAATTGCTCAGAACTGAACTTTCATACTACTGACATAGCATAGTTCCAAACTAAACAGTGTCATACTTAGCAGTAATGTCTGCTCATAGAGCTCAGCTAGGACATCAGTGACCATTAAAAAAAATACTCACTAGCACAGATGCACTACAGCCCCACACACTCAGAAGAACGGCAAAGGGATTAGAAGACAGTGGTTAACTTTACTAACATTTCTTAGTCAAAAGCATGGTCATGTTTTAAGAATTTACAAACATGTTAAACACAACTGGGCGACCTCTGTCTCTTCTGGCTATAGACAAACTATTTGAAGTGCAATATTCTACTTTCTGACAGGGAATACAAGCTTACTTTCTGTCCTCAATACATTGCTCTTCAATTTTAATGTTGACCTGCATTTCTGTCTACTCTGCCCATCCTCAGCACGTTAGTCTGCCAGCCTTGGAGGGGTGCTAGGGGACACTTAAGGCTGCAGGCTGACTACACATACTTTTTTGGACTCATGAAGCCTGAGCCCAAATGAGGGATTAGCACACTGACTTTTTTTTTTTTTTTTGGTACTGGGGAATCGAACTCACAACTTTGTGGTTGCCAGGTAGGCGCTTATACTAACTTTTAATCTGTTCCTGATAGCATGAAATCAGGGCTTGCTATATATATAAATCAGGAGTGTTTCTCTTTAATCTGCTTGAAACTAATAGAACAACCAAACGGGGCTAATCCAAATCACTTTGCAAACTCCATTTTTATTTTGATTAAAAAGCTTTAGAGGAACAAACATATGATACATACATGTTATAAGGACTAGTAACCACTGAAACTTCAGATGATGATATAATACAGAAATTAGAATAGACCAAGTTTTAATCATGTCTGAAATACTCAAACTGAAAAATCAATACCATTAGAGGACTTTACACAAGTTAAGTGTCCTCCCTCAATTCCTCATAGGAAAGGGAGGGTGGGTTAAAACAAATAATTAAAAGCCTTTAAAATTAGTTGGCTAACATTCTATCTTAAACTTATAGATCTCCACCATATAAACAGAATTCTCCATAGGAACTTACATTTTGAAAATAGGCTATTACACTTTCCAAGCCACATTACTATACTTCCTGAAACTCTTAGCGGGGAAAAAAAAGAGATACATAGCTTGCTTGTACTTTTAAAAAGTTAGAAGTTTTTTCTTTTTTTTTTTTTTTGGAAAATGGTTGACTTCAAATTTTAAATCCTAAATATTAACTGATGTTCCCTAAGTTAATGTACAGAAAGACATGATTCTAAAATAAATAAATTTTTTTTTCCTTAACTTAATTAGGGCCTGCCTAGCGGTACCCTGAGCCATCTCTACACTGCCTTACAGAGCTCCTGGCTGGCTCTTGGGTTCCACAGCACCCAAGGGATGGGGAAAAAGCCTGGAGGAAGAGTACTCTGGCTTCCAGTGCCTCTGTGGCCCATGATAAAGAGTTTTTAAACAAGTCTTATCCAGCCCTTAAAAAGGGATATACAATGAATGCATGAAATAAATAAATAATTTAACCAAAATTACGCTTCAGGTTCTTTGGTGTAATTCAAGGATGTCTATAAAGAAAAGAATCTGATTGCATCACACAGTTCATGATGATTTAATGATCCAAATAACCAGACTTGAAGATTTTTCTGGTTCAGTTTAAGAATAAGGTATTGATATACTACTGTAATATGTTTCAAAATTCAAAATTATTGAAAATACTTGATGCAAACTGATATCCAGTGGGGTTGACTAATGGCAGTTAAGTTATAAGGGCCTCTTGTATGTATGTTTTTTGAGACAGGGTCTTGCTATGTATTCTGGGCTGGCTGTGAACTCATGATGTAGCCCAGGCTAGCCTTGAACTTGTGATCCTCTTGCCATGGCCTTCTGAATGCTGTGGTTAGAGATATGTGCCACCATGCCTGGTTAAGGGCCTCCTATATTCAAACATTTAGATATAAGAGATATATTTTTACTCTATACTCCTTTGCCCTCATGATTTATTAAGTATTGGTAATTAAGCATCTGGGTATTGATTCATAGATTGAAAGGAAAAAAGTATCCTCTGAAAGTCACTCACAAACTGGTGCTCCACCACAAATGTAACCATTGTTATAATAAAGTAGGTTTCAAAAACATGCTGCCAAATGAAATAATGTTTTGTATTTATAGTTTCCTACCATTTGAGCAGCACATTACCTCTAAATGTTTACCCTAGGACCATATAAGAAAGAGGGTCACTGAAACCTAGTAGTTAGGATCTGTAATGGTCTTTTTAGTGAGCATTTCCTTACATTATGATTCCCTTTTCCTGTAATTCAAAAGCACAAGTTAAATTTAAAAATATAGTTTAGAAAGTAATAGATTTCTGGTTGAGAATTACAACCCTGAAACAAAAAGAATTCCCCCAACTGATAAGGAGATAAAGAATATGAAACATTTGCATATGTAGGCATTGTACCCTTTCACAGTTAGGTGCATGACAGTTCATATCCAATTACTGTACTCCCTTCTGTAGATAAGGTTGTGTTATATTTAAAAATAAGTCATCCCCATGTAGATCTTAATGCTTTTCTTCAAGATGAACTTCAATGTTTTCCAATGTAACTTTTAAATTCTCAAGCCACCTAACATATATAGGCATAATTTGTGAATTTATTATAAACAGATCGAAAGTACCCTTAAACTTACCTTCCAAGACTAACTATAACTCTGGGCTGTGTACATGTTCTGCAAAAATCAATGACACTACTGATGTCTAACTCAACACAACAAAACTGCTGTTTTCCTCCAGGTATCTGGGAATTATACTAGCTGCAGATGAATGCATAGTACTGACTATGGATTTCTACAGAGACCCTCTGAGTTAAAAGAGCAAATGTTTGTCAAACATCTATAATCTAAATAACAACTAGCAGTTGACTTTACCTGTAAGGAACAGCCTTTTCAGAAAGTGGCTTAAGATATTCAGGCACACAAAACATACATATACACACTCCCCCTCTCTAAGTTGTAAACTAGAACAAACTTCACATTTCATTGTCAACTTAAACTAATTTGTAAACTGTTAAGTTTTTTTTTTCATTTTGTTTGTTTTATAGAAAAAAAAGCAACCCCTCCCCAAACAAAACAAAAAACAAAATTCCCAAGCCAAGACAAAATCGTTGATGGTTTCAGTTCCATGGCAACAAGTAAAAAGATAAAACTCCAAGTCTGCATATACAACCAATTATGAAAATGGTTTTAAACAAAGGAAACATATGCAAAAAAATTGTTGTGTATTTGAGAAAGTCAACTTAATATAACAAAACCAAATTGAAATAGCTTATTAAAAGTGTCCTTATATAAAAATGGCCTTGTGATGTACAGTAAAACGCAATAAAAATTATCCTTTGTTCCTTCCCCCCACCCCAGTAACTAAAATGGCTACTGTTCCACAACTCTTTATGTTGTATAAAAGAAACATAATGATGTGATTAAACGTTTTCTAAGTTGTATGCTTGGCGAATGTTGAGGGTATCTCGAAGCATCAAATCTCGCAAGCGCCAGAGGGCATCTGCCATGGTGGTGTGGGCTCCTTTACTTTTGAGCCAGTGGGAGGGTAGACGACTCTCCTGTTCTTTTGATAAATGGACATCACGTCTTCGAGCTGAAAATTAAAGTGCAAATAAACACGAATTGGAACGTTAAGATGACAAAATGTCCTTCAGTTCTAAGGGCCAATAGATTAAGCCATAAAATATTTTACATTATTATTATTATTTGGTACTGGGGACTGAATTCAAGTCCTTCATACTGAAGTACAGCACCAGCCCCTTTAAAGGTTTATAACCTTTTAAGACAGGGTCTTGCCACGTTGTTAAAGTACTCACACTGGGCTCAACTTTATAATCTTCCTGCCTCAGTCTTCTGGAGTGCTGGAATTACAGAAGTGAGCCACCATGCCCCAGATTAATACCATATTATGAATTTTTAACAAGCAGATTTCTTTTCTTTCCATGGTACTGGGTATTGAACCCATGGAGTGCTGAGATACATTACCCTACCTTTTATTATTTTATTTTGAGACAGGGTCTCAGTTTGTGATTCTCTTGCCTCAGCCTCCTGAGTAGCTGGGATTGCATACATGTGCTACCTCAAGCAAATTTCTTACATCATTTCATTAGGTACTAAGAAATCTGATCATTAACAATTTATTATAGGTGCCACTGATATTTAATAATTACTTAATTGCTAACAAACCAGCCTAAAAACAAATATGTGAAGGGGAAAACATACACTCTTAAATTATCAAATTTGGGGGGCTGGGGATTTAGCTCAGGGGCATAAGCGCCTGCCTTGCAAGCAGGCAGTCGTGAGTTCGATCCCTGGTACCGATAAAAAGGAAAAGGACAAAAAAAAAAAAAAATTATCAAATTTGGTTTAGAAATAAATAAATAGAAGCTTCTAAATTTCTCTACAGATTCTAGATAACTCACTCTAGTACATACTAAAAATATACATTAAATCTACTGATCCAAATAACTAACTTGATAATCTGATAAAAGTATACTTTTCAATTTTTTCACCTTTTAAAAATAAATTTAACATCTAACATGAATACATAACTTTCTGAAAAATTTAAAAACTACTCCAAAAAAATGTTTATGAAAAAACTAAACTTTGAAATTTGACTAAAAATTCCATTTTTAAGTATGTGATGTTAATATTCTAAGAAGTTCCAAACCATTCAATGAAACATACAGTTTATTTTACTGGTATATGCAAAAGGCATGTTTTTTTTGACAGGAGCCAACAGCAGGAAAGGACTGGAAAGAAGAATGTATTATTTAGAAGGATTCTTACCTGCCAGGGTTTGGTCCCATTTGCTAATGCTATTGGACTCCGCACTGAGTCCCTCAATGTATTTCAGGTAGGCCTCTGAGTGGAGAAGCCGTTGTGTTTTCGGTGGGGGAGCCACAAACATAGGTGTTGTTGGCTGCTGTATGACAGGGGGGCCAGCTGGATGTGGGCCAGGATATGGAGGTGGTGCCTGCTGCCCCGGAGGCCCCAAAACTCCCACCTGAAAAAGCATGGGACCATGTGGTCAGGCCAAGAAGATACTCTACATATTCTAAAAAGCAAGGTGACTAGAATTGTATTGAGTCTGTGGAAAATCAAACTGGGTGGCTCACCTGTTGTCCATATGGACTTCCACCTGGTGCTGGAGACCCTACCATAGGGGCCACTCCTTGATTCATCACACCTATAATTCAGAATGCAATGGCACAATTAGAAGTTCTGGTTGAGATGACTGAAAAACTTGTTTGATGAGAAATGATGCCATTTATAATGCCAATCTATACATCTCTGCCCTTGAGTGTGATAACCATAAGCACCCAAAACAAGATTCAAATAGAGAATTTGTGTGTGTGTGTGTGTGTGTGTGTGTGTGTGTGTACGTACTTAAACCACTATGCTAATAGAACTTGTCAAATATGGCCATTCTCTAAAAATGATTTGAACATTGTATAAAATTGTAATCTTTCCCTAGGTGAGCTATAGTCAGAATACATCTGTTTTCAAGGTACTTTTCTTCTGACAACACATTCAGCAATTGGAACCTGCTCTAAATTTCAACAGAAATAGCACTGGGATCAGGCTCAGCAGTAAGCAATGTGCTAAAACAGCACAGACACAATGGAAGAGGTTGTGAAAGTGTAATTAACTGAGTTTGTGGAAGTTAGAAGCACTGCCTTGCTGTTCTTTGAGGGCCATCACGGGATACTATAATACTGCCACTTCCATCCTATAGACTAGAACTTTGAAAATCCATGATGTGGGAGTGGAGTTACCTGTTGTTATTCCTTTAGAAGCAAAATGACTTCTGAAGGAACAGAAAGACTTCATGACCTATTATATTTATACTGTTTCTTTGCAAATAATTTAGTAAACTTCATTTAGTCAGCGCTCATGAGCAACTGTTTTCTTGCAAGTACTAGAAGATAGTAAGATGTCTGAAATTTAGTATCTCAGGCTACTTTTATCTCAAGCCATCCATTTGCTGTTTGGATAAAACATAGAAATAGGGAAGGGACCCAGTTCATTAAAAACAAAACCACAAGTAAAACCACATCCAGCTGTTCTTTAAAGCTTAAACAAAACCTTCTGGCTATGCTGTGTGATCATGAAAAACTAACTTCACAGTCTACAGATCTCTACATTAAAAATGCTGGTATGTTGATCAGGCAGAATTCTAAGGTTCAGAGATGTTAAATGCCACCTACAGAAGAGGCGTTCTCTCTCTTGTTAGAGAAAAAAATAAGTAAAAATAAGCTTGTTTTAAAACAGGGATGTTTACATTTCAAGTGCACAGAAGTATACCTAGATCATCACAGTAGGATCCTAATGATTATTGGTGAATGAATGGAGGTGGTGGCAGTTAAGCTTCTGTTCCAACAATACATTACTAAACCCTTGACCCTTCTCCTAGGACACTCATCCACTCCACCCACCCTAGACTTCACACATGGAGGCTCCCCTAAGCTTCCTGTTATTGCTTTGTAAGGCAATACAAACAAGCAAACCTCTCTGCTTCCTGTTTATATATGTGCTCAGCCTGATCAGATATGTGAGTGTACATACCAAGAGGGTTCTTCCTTGTTTATGACCAAAGTGCTGTGCTTCCTTCAAATGCAACTTAGTATCAGAAGAAGGGGGAAAGAAGGATAGCTATGCCCCAACACCCACCAAAAGACACTTGCTATCACGAAGCACTGGAGTAGGACAGGGCTCCCATTGAGGACTATATGCATCTAGAAGGTATCAACTCCAACTCTGTCTTACAGACCAGAGAAATACCCTATGTCAAGCAAGAGGGCAGAGAATTAGGTCCAAGTCCACTGGTCACACAGGAACATCTATTTTATGACTGATTCCTGGTGCCACAGCAATTTACCTACCACACCACTATTTCCAAAATGAAATACCCACTTCTATGACCATTTCCTCCTTTTAAAACATTTGGGATAAGCAAATCTGACAAGATTCCAACCACATTTTATGTGGGTTGGGCCCTTGGTTGATATTTTAGTACTGGAGCAAATAGTATTCCAAGTCATCTGAGGGCATATTCCCTCAAACTAGATAATTAAGTCAGTTCATTTGCATATGATAGCAATTAATATGGGAATTTAGGATTTTCTTTGAAATAATTTTCAATTTGTTAATTCATTATAAAGTCAAACTAGCTATTTCTGGGCCTCATTTATATACAATATTGCTATGTAAAAGAAGTTCTAGGCTTCTGTTGACAAAATAACATCTATGCTAGTATAGTGGGCTAGATGGTTCTTTAAAATGTGATGTCAGGCTTCTTAAGGGGCTCAGATACAGAAAACTAATTCAGTGCAAATCAATTTCCTTCTTCCTTTTTGTTCCCAGGAGGACAGTTTTACATTAGTGATTCCACAATCCCATTAGAGAAGGGCTGTTTGATGATGAGGATGTACAGCACAGATTCTAGAGAGAAGACTCTGTGAGATAAAGAATTACACTCAATGGAAAAATGCACTCAAGAGCAGAGTACTATTGTGTATGACTCTGGGCTACAATTTGGGAAACTTCATTTACTGATAGGAGGCATGACCCTTAGGTTGGCTGGCTCTTTGAACACATGTCATACTATTTAATTATATAGTATGCCTCTTGCCTCTCTCTTGATCTGCTGAGTCTGGCCTCTGCCATGTATCCTGTGTTGCTGCCATAGTCAGGACACAAGTACTGGGCCACTTGCTCAAAGTACAGGACAGGCCCTGCTGCTGATAGCTCTGGGATTCTCAGTGAGGGAACCCCAGCCACAATTGGCAGCAGTTACCTCCTAGAACCACTGGCTGAGGGAGTAAAAAAGAACACGAAGGTGAGATTAATGAGTGAATGAGGATGAAGTTCTTACCCTGTGGTGGGATGCCCGGGAGGCCAGGTACACCTGGCGGAAGATGGTGGGGTGGAGGCCCCCCAGGGTGAAGTGGCTGCATGCTGCCCATGCTAACAAGGCCATCAACTGGGCCCTGCAAAGGTGGAAGGCCTGGCGGATAGCCACCCATCATGCCTTGAAGGACACAACAAATTTCAGACATGCATCATTAACATGCAACATGAGCTAATCACAACCCCCCACATGCACTACCCATGAATAAAGCACCCTTAGTATTGCATGATATAACTGTAATTAGTGAAATTATTTTGTTGTAATAATGAACAAAATAAAAAGTTACAAACATGAAACCAAACATTTCTGGAAGAATTAGTACTTAGTACATTATTGTTGTAGTTATTTTTGCCAGGATAAATGTGCTACATTTTCCACTTAAATAATAATAAAGTGGAGTTCTAATAACAGCTTTCCCACTTTCAAAGAACTGCCTCAAACTGTTCAAGCAGAGCAATCAGTTCTATGGACTGCAACTCTAATTGAACAGCATATACCCTTATCCACTCTGCCCACACTCATATGCCTATCATGGGTACAATGAGGGGAAATCAAAATGGAGGGAAATGAGGTGCACAGTCCTGATCACAAAACAACAAAGCATGGCTCTCCAGCTTTGGTCAAGGATTTTTTCAAGTCTAGTTCATCATCTACTCCACCCTTTGATCCCCTCACTGCTAGTAAGAATGGATAGTGTCAAGGTTTAAGCTGTGGAACAGCTAAGAGCCATCACACGGAATAATGATTCATCTTTAGATTTCAAAATATGTGGAAGATAAAATCTACGTCTTCCCAATTCAACCAAAGCACTGGTCACTCAGAAACCGCTATTTAGAACTTAAGAAGAGCTGGAGAATCAGGCTCTGCTGACATGAGAAAATGCCAATTTTCATCACTGTCACCAAGCTCACAAATGTCCTCACGCAAACCTTCAGTTAACAGGGAGCATTTTAATCAAGGTATAGAATTTCTATAAACAGAGGCTTTTAATCCTTTATTATCAAAGCATACCTTCAAACAACAAGTATCTTCTGTTGGCTAAGGAAAAGCTTCAGCAAACGAGTATTTTTTGGCAAAAGGATTGAAAATAAAATAATTTCGAAATGTCAAAGACTCACCTATGGAAAGCGTTTTAAAATCACATGGCACTTTTTTTTTTTTAAACAAGAAAAACACTTTTTTTTGGATTTGTAATGATTACAAAGCTCCCCCGAAGCATAGTCACTTTTGGTCAAAGCTATGGGACTAGTGCCAAACTTCATTTTTATAGTGTATTCTTTGTACAGGGACTCTGGGAAACTCCAGATTCTGAGAATTTCACTCTGACATTTCCTGAAGACTTATTTTAAAAGTATTTTTAAAAGTTTAATTTTAAAGCTATAATATTATTGAAAATTCTGATTTTGACTCACACTGCTTCCTTTAGTCTTAACTAAACTGAGAAACAGTTACACAAACTGATAAAACGAATGTGAAATCTCTTTATACATGAAATAGAATGGACTTCATTTTTTAGCAATGAGAATTCTGAGAATAAAACTACTTTTTTGGTACTGCTAATCAAATTCAGGACCTTGCACTTGCCAGGCAGGTGCTTATACCGCTGAGCTATATCCCTGGCCCAATAAAACTACTTTTGAAAAGACACCGTAATCTTAAACATGAGGAAATCCAATGCTGCTAAACTGCCTTTTAACCACACCAGCAGCTATAGTTTTTAGGGCTAAGTAGATGAGTAATTTAAAAGATGTTAGGAGGCTTTGCTTTCAATGACAAAAGCCCATCTGAACTCAGCCTTCATGGGCTGTGGCTGAAGATTAAATATTAAGCACTGACACTTGTCTTCATTAAACTGTACTTTGGCATTTATTATCCCAGTCACATGTGTTCAAATGAGCTTCAACGCTTGTAAGCAAAGCTGGTCTCAGATACCAATAAGGCAAGACTTGGGTGGTAAGCAATCTGTAAATTCATAGAAAATCATCCTTTTGGCTGCAGAGTTCCTTCTGTGGACCAAAGACTGGTTACTGTTGAGAATGCCTGCCTTTCACTCCCATGACCCAGAGGTCTGGGCAGCACACCCTTAATAATGGAGCAGTGGCTTTCTAAGGGGTCCAATTCCTCACCCACAGAACTCTAGGATGTTATTCCCCAACAGGGAGCTAAAATGCTGCAGCTGCTGTTTTTCAAAAATGTTTTTAGCTGTTTGTATTCATTTTGTTAATATGTCCCTGGGTTTTGTAGTCATGGGCACAGTGCCACAATATCACACATCAAATAGAACAAAACAAGATGTCAATGAGGGAATTCTAACTTTCAAAGTCCCCATGTTCAAGGCCTGATTTCTAAAAACTTCTGGAACCGCATTAACCAAAATGGGCCATGGAATAGAGCAGGTGATTATGAGATTTGTTAGATCAACATCAGTTACATTGAGAGTACTGAAAAGCCATGATTCTGATGTGCTTTGGTGAGTGCAACTGCTGAGTTCAGAGACAGTGCATTTGAGAACTTGCCATCACAAAAGTTAGGAGCAACAATGGAAAAGTTAACCTATGCTATCTGTTTTTCCTTAAAAAGCAAAAACAAAAAGAGCATCCCAATGAACCTGACTTGAACAACACTGTCTTGGACTCCGTGAGAAAAAGGTCAAAGTCAGACTGGCTTAAGAAGAAACAGGTGGCTTGCACTGACCTCTACAGTCTTGGAGAGGTCACAAAGGAGAGGCCTGAAGTAGTTCTGCAGGCTTCTCATTGGAGACAAGTCAGACAAGGATATTTGATAAAAAAAAAAAAAAAAAGTCAAATTTGCTATGGCTACCAGAATCAGAGACAACACACACAAGCAAACCACATTCATCATTTTCTTTCTTTCTTCATTTAAATATGTGACTGGGATACTAACAGAAAATGCAGTTTAATGTAATTAAATAGAAAAGCATTACAGAGTGGGCACAATGCATTTAATAAGGACTTTGTATTCTATTTATCAGTCATGCACATTGGTGACCAAGAAAGGATTTACAATTCATTGTCAAAAATCCTTTTAAATGGTCTGTCTGTTAAGGATGGCTGCAGCAGAACAAGACAAACTGAATACTGGCAAGAAACAAAATCAATATCACCTAAAGACTGATTTTGTGTTTTTTCTTAGGAATTCCTCTAGAATAGAATTCAGCACCTATTTATGTTTTCTGCTGTAGCAGTCTATCAAGAGCAGTCTGGGGTGAGAACATCACCAGACCATGCCCATAGCCAGGGAAGAGATGGTCCCTATCAATTCCCAGGGTTGGGTCCAGGGCCCATTTCTGGGTTAGAAGGGCGGCATTGCCTGCATGGGAAAGGCAATAGACAACATGGATGATTTCAAACTTTGAATCTGTCATGACAAAAGGCTACAGATTGTGGCCTACTCCTCTTGGAGAAAAAAAAAATGAAGGATTTCTTAAAGTGGAAAAAAATGGTCTTATCTCCTGTTTTTACCTGCAACAGGTGTCAACTGCTGATTGAGCATCCCCATTGGTGTTGGTGGTGGCACCACCCCCATGAGAGCCCCCACAGGGGTGCCTGCTCGGGGAGAAGCACTCGGTTGCTGTTGCTGTGCTGCTCGCTCTCTCTCCTGCTGCTCAGCAACTTTAGCTGCCCGCTCTGTAAAGGCATTTCAGATTTTCAATTCTGTTTTTAACCCAGGAATTCAAAATACCATCCATTGCATTCAACAGGACTAGTAAAAACACAGGCAACAGTTCTGTCTCAATGGAAAGAACAGTAGATGACTAGTCTCAACACAGGAGGAGTCGGGCCGATTTCACTTGATAACCTAGAATCCAGCTTTCCTATCCCATCTTGAGAACTGGTCTGCAAAGATTTCAAGAATGTTAAGACTGCAACACACATTCAGAAAGCACAGGTTTTATTTAAACACATCACCAGCGTAACCACCGTGGTTAATCTCACGAGGCACCCTGAAGATGAGAAGCACTACCATTATTCTAGTATTAATAGCAATACAGATTATTTATAATTTCAACATGAAGCAATTCCATGGCCCATTATTATTTTTGGCACAATTGTTACTTACTATATTTTCCTGATTCCTTGTACCCAATTTTACTAACATTTTGAGGACTCTAATAATTAAAGTCATAGGTTTAGCAGCTGAAGAAAATTAACTCTGTAAGGGAAAAGTAGCTTACTACCTCTTCCACAAGACTTTAGGGAAAGTAAATGGATAATTTCTGTGTTCTAATAAAGCAAGGAGATAATGTTTACTAAATCCCAAAATACATGATACTCTAGGTTACAAGCATCGGAAGCAGGGAATTGACTTACACATGTGTGTAGCTATGTTTCAAAGAACCAGGTTTCCTGAAGCTGAGCAGTTCCAAACTAACCATAAATCATCCTAATTAGCAAGACTTCCAGAATCCAATCTTATTTCATCCAATACACAAGAGGAGCACTTTCTTGTGGCCCTTCTGGGTTGTTACCTGCTATCCCTTTCACTCTCTTGAGCTACTATTCTGCATCTCCAGAGCCACAGCCCCAACAATCCCATTTCAAGCCCACTGGAACTTTATTTCAGGGGGACTGTATTTCCAAAGTTCTCACTACACATGGTTTACTTAACTTCACCATTTATAAATAGGAAATTTTCCCTCATCTTCAGATGGGCAAATGGAGTTTGGGAGACAGGTAGTGTCTTGCCCAAAGATGTGGAGAAAACCAGCAACCTATGATCCAGAATTTTGATATCACTCTCCAACTGGAACACATTAACCCTCCAACATGAAATTCAAAAGGCTACCATAAGTTGAGTAGGGGAAAAATAGCTAGAGGTCACACGTCTTTATAGAGAACCAAGAGACAACAGCTTCAATCCTCCTTTAGGGTAAGAATGTAAAAGTCAATCAAGTTAAAAGACCCTTGGCTGTGATGAAGCTGCCAACAAAGACTCCATCACTAACATAGTTTCACTTTACAGACCCTTAGTAAACTGTGTACAATGAGAATGAGGGACAAAGGCCATTTGAACATCTTCAGCAAGCAGTAAAAAAAAATCATTGATGATTTTTACACACATTAAATTTTGGTATTTTCACTACACAAACAGTAAAATGAGAGAGAGAGAGAGAGAGAGAGAGAGAGAGAGAGAGAGAGAGAGAGAGAAAGAGAGAGAAAGAGAAAGGGAGAAATGGAAGAAAAAAAAAAAAAAAACCCCAACATAAAAGCTCCGGCCTGTGCTGTTGGCTCTCTCTGGGAGCCCAGTTGGGCTGTCCTAGAAAGCAGAAGTATTAAAATTAAGTGAGCCAAACTCCTAACTTTGGGTTTTGAATTTAATGGACAACCCCACCAAATGTTCAGAGTTGAGTCTCAGCCAAATATTTGACAATTCACCCTCACTAGATTCCTCCTGAAGTTCAGATTCCCTGTTGGGAAAACTTCTTGTAAGCCACCATCTCTCCCTCCCTGCTCCAGCATTTCTGCCTTGTATTATTATCTCTAGATTTCTCTCTCCTGTTCACACCCTAAATAACTAGCTGTTCAGTACTGGCTTTGCCTCAGAAAAGGCTTTAATCACTTACCAGTCCAATTATTTAAATACAGGATGACCAAAAATTGTATTTTTTCATTAATTTTTATACGATATTGTAACTAGAAATACAAAAATGACAATTTTATCAAATTTATTCAATATAAGAAATCAGCAGTTGAAATGATACCTGCTTGAGCAAAAGTGCTCTGGATAGTAGGTCAAAGAATGTAAAGAATGTTCTGCAAACTGCCTGGGTGATGCTGGTGTAAACTGTTAAGTGGTTAACCCTGTTAGCTTGCAACTGAGTGCTATATTTCATCTTAATTTGCATAAAGATGAGAAATATCAAAATTCCCCCAAAATTCTAGGTTCTCAGGGAACTGATAAGGATTTCTGAAAGAATGTTCTATAATATAGTTCTATAGGATATTAGCATATATTACAGAAATACATGGTTGAATTTCAGAAAACGTCAGATAATAAGAAACAGGTTACTTATTGTAGGTCTTAAAGACTTTAACATGAAAATATGCCCTGTAAGTTTTTTTTAGTTTTTTTTAAGTCTCTAATGTATGCACTGAGGGTTTTAAAGACAAGAATGCAGAATTCTTCTTAAACTGACTTTGTGACAAAGTGATTTGTGGTTGATTACCTGGCAGAAGAGCCTCAGGAAAGCCTGTCAGATTATTTTATAATAATCATTTATAACAAATGAAACTTTAAAAAAATAATGGGTGTTTTTGGAGACTGTATAAACTAATAAAGAAGGGCATTCTTTTTTTTTTTTTGTCTTTTTCGTTTTTAACGGTACCAGGGATCGAACTCACGACTGCCTGCTTGCAAAGCAGGTGCTTATGCCGCTGAGCTAAATCCCCAGCCCCTACGGCATTCTTAATAATTGTGTTTGCTGGAAAATAATGGATTTGGACCTAGCCAAGATTAATGACTGACCACTGTAAAAAAAGATGGCTCTAAATTGGGAAAATGAATCAATATGTAAAATTTCCAAGGAAAAAATATAGCTCAAAGAGCAAAAGTCCTTCCTAATCTAATGTTTACTACTCATTTTTGTATTAAAGCCATGCCTGCTATTAGCAAGAATAACAGCAGCAACAAAAACAAAAAAACCTCAGAAATTCCCAAGTATTTGTTCCTCAATGGTTAAGAACAACCAAATCCTTGAATAACAGCTCATGGCCTGAAGTGATTTAATTATAGGGTAAAAGGCAGTTGAGCTTTATCAAAGAGAGCCTTAAGTGTCTTAACAGTAGCTACAAATACAAATATAGCACCGTCAGGACTGGCCTAGAGAACCAGGCACTTCAGTTAACCTTAGACTACAGTTAAACAGAGGGCTCTGTAAGAGCCATAATAGAAGATTAACAATTTTAAAAGGCCCCTTTCAAATGAATTCTAATGAAAATTATATTTTAGAACATTGTGCGATCATTCCCTATCTCAACACATGTGTACTTACAGGGTCAAAGAAAAAGGAAAATCACAGTTTTCAATCGCTTTTGTTTGAGGAATTTGGGCGCGGGGTGGGGGTATGTGTGGTGGAGAGGACACACAAGGTCAGGATCTGAGGCCAAGCATTAGGGCAGCTCTCTGTTCAGTCAGAACAAGGCTGTCACCTCAACTGCAGTTGATTACCATCTGGAACAGTTCCCAACATGAAGTTCGTGTGCACACAGCAAGACTGAGAAGAATAAACCCTATCTATGCACATGCATCCCTTAAAAACCTCTCTTGCTTAGAAAGCTGAGAAAGTTGTGCTTAGCCTTTATTTACCTTCATATTCTGCCTTCTTGGCTGTCTCAAGGTTTCTCCATTCTGTCCCCACCAGTCGGCTGAGCTCCCCAAAAGAGTAGTCTGGGTGCTGGGCTTTAATCACAGCTCTCATCTCACTGCTGAACAGGATGTAGCCACTCATGTTGATTTTCCTTTTAGAGCCTTCCTTCTTTGCACTGCCTTTAGCAGATTTTGGGGTAGACTGTAACACAGAAAGGTCTTATAGTGCATCAGAATGTTTTATTTGGTTAGCTGCTGAGTTTCTGAAAGTCAGGAGCATAAGATTCAATAGTAACTGTTTTATAAACACATTCCATTTGCAGCTGGCCATTTCTCAGTCAAAACACACCTTTTTCTGGCCTCTTACCAGAGAAAGTAAGTACCACAGAATTCATAATGGCAATCGGTAATAGTGACCTCATAATAAAAGTCTTGAGAAAATTCTAAATGAGAAAAAAACTGCCAGTAGGTATCACCTCAACCAAAGAACAAGGTCCTAAGGAAGAAGAAATTAAAATGATATAGGCAATGAAAGCCAGAGTAATAAAAAGGGTGATGGTACTCCTTGTTGCTTTTCTTCAAGGGAAAGTGAGGAAAGAATTTTAACAAACTTGAAATTAAGCAAAGTCTCTATGACAATCAAAAAAAGTTAAGCTATAAATCATTATAGCTTAATGATAACTATAAATTATATAATTCAAAACAAGTAAGTAATAAGTTAAAGGCACTGACATGAAAAACATCCCTTTTTCCTGCAGAATTCTGGGCAAAAATTCACTCATGGGTGGGGGACACATCTGCATACCAAAGCTGAGAGCACAACAAGTAACAGGAACATGTCACCTTCACCTGTGGGGGTGTATAGGGCATGAGGTCCAGCTCACTGGCTAGGGGAGTCTGAAGCTGAGGTAGAGAAGGAGGTTCAATGACCTCACTATCTTCTTCTCCCATCTCTTCAACATCATCATCTCCACCTTCTAATTCAGCAAATTTAGCTTCTAGCAATTGGATCTTCTTTTCCAGCAAAGGCGAAGGCTCCTTTTGAGGAATGATTGGCTTTCTGAAAGAAATGATATTACAAAAATGCTCAGTAACACCTCTCCAGGACTGGTCAAAAAGCAGTGCTTTTCTGCCTTTTATATCTAGAAATCACTTCCTGCAATCTGCAGTGTACATTCTAAGGAGAGTAAGGGAATTTAAATGAAGTTCCTTCTCCACTCTGCATTTTGTTTCCCTTCAGCATTAGGCAGCAGCAGAACAGACCAACTGACCAACTTGACTGTGGACAAAGCCAACATATGGTGAGAAAGGATATGACTGAAGGGGGTGGAGTTAGGCAGCGAAAGGGAGAAACAACAACTAAGCCAGCAGCGCTAACCAAAAGAAAAGCCGGTGGTTATTGTAAATTGCTGAAACAATGTGGGTTGTATTCCAAAAGTGACTCCTTCCACGTGGTAGGCTGGAGAAGCAATCCAGTGCAGTACCTACCATATTTGAGAGTAAAAAGCCTTGGGGTTAACTGTTTAAGACTGAACCACAGAACAAGTGCAAAATGACTTGTTTAAGGTTTCCAGAATTATCCTATTACAGCAACTGGATGAGACAGCCACAAGAGACAATCATGGTGGATCCTAGACATACGACTCCCTAAAAAGTTTAAGCTCAGGGTGCGGGATGCAGCTCAGTGGCACAGCCCCATGCCTGGCAAGTACAAGGTCCTGAGTTCGAGTCCCAGTACCATAAATAAATAAATACTTAAGCTCAGACTGAGAATGGCATGGGACCCTGCCCTGTGTGGTGGTAGACTTGGTATGTTGGCTTTCAGAGGTGGTGGGGTCTGAAAGTGCTAGCACTAAGTGAAGTAGTCTGCCTGAACCCCATCTGCACTGATTATATCCACATTCACTTATCCAGGACATGCCTTGGCTTGGATGACTGCCACAATGTAGGGTATAAGGGCAGGGGCTTCTGCAACAGGCTAACCACCTCAAAAAACCATAAAACTTGGTGCAAAAAACTGTGATTTGCTGAATTTTAAGCCTATACATCCTGGAAAGAAACCACTTATTCAAAAATACAGAGAAATTATTTTTGGACTCATTTTTTTTTCCCACAGGTTTTTTTTGATGTTTGGGTTTTCTTTATTTTTGGTTACTTTTTAATTTATTTTTTTGGTACCAGGGATTGAATTTACAAACCTCGCACCTGCCAGGCAGGCTCTTACTCTGCTGAGCTAAATCTGGGGCCCTTTTCTGTTATTTTTACCTAATTGTGTTAATTTCCTTTTATTCTTTTAAAAAGACTTCTTGGGGCTGGGGATTTAGCTCAGCGGCATAAGCGCCTGCCTTGCAAGCAGGCAGTCCTGAGTTCGATCCCTGGTACTAATAAAAAGGAAAAAGACAAAAAAAAAAAAAAAATTAAAAGACTTTTTATCTCACTTTTCTCTTTTATCCCTCCTAGCCCCCAAGGCACCAGTGCTGTTCTCAGCAGGAGCTCAGCACCACAGCTGTCATCCTCCACTGCTGAAAGTAGTAGAGGAGATAAGCTAGGAGACAAGAATCGTGAGTTAGGACAAGAAATTTTACAGGTCCTGGAACATATGGGGACATCTAGAGACACCCAAAAGTTTACATCACACTTCACTTCAAGGACTTTGTCATTGAGATGCAACACTGGCAGAGAACTCTGACCATAAATGTTTATTAAAATCTTCCTGTGCCTGCTAATGTACCCTGCCTTCTCTTGAGCCTTATTAAAGGGGCCCACTTTTGTTTGTTCCCTGTATCCTTTTGCTGTCTGCCTGCACTCAGGTATTAACCCACATGCCTTGCTGCTTCCAAAAAAACTTGTGAGTGTTCTCTGCCTCCTTTGTTCACATGCCCGTTTGTTAGATTATCACCATCCATTATGTAATTACTCAAATTTTGTTCATTCTCTCATTCCCTACCTCCTCTGTCTTTACTGAAAAACCATTAACATTTATTAATCTTAAGTTAACTCTGTTATTACTTTTGAGGTTTTTTTCTGTTGTTAATTTAAATAATTGGTTTGTCTTAGTACTGATACAACTGTAGATGTTTTTATGGTATATCAATATCCAGCTTGCTTTTGATACTCCTAGTACTGATTGTGGTGCTGCTATTGTCAGGGTGGTAAACTTAGGACCTCATGCTTGCCAGGCAAGTGCTACATCACTGAGCTAAATCCCTAGCCTAGTTGTTGCTATTAAGAGGTCTTCTTTGTATGCCAATATCTAGATTGCCTTGAGTCAAACAATACTAAACTGCGTTCCCACTCCCAAAGAACTGCATGCTGAGTCAATTACACAGTATCCATCTGATATAACAAGTAGGGTAGCAAAACTGGCTGGGGAAATAAGTGGGACCAGTCAATTACAAGATCCTAGGACAGCATCAAATAATTCTCAGGACCCAGTATATGGAACTTTTTCTTTTGGGCATAAAATGTGGACAGTATAAAGAGACAAGACACCCTGAGAAGCCCGGTATTATGACTCTTCAGAGTAGCCTATTCTGCATCTCCTAGATGTAGGATGTATTTTTAAATTCCTTTTACCCTTTCCTCTCTTTGTTTAGCCCAAATTTGCTCTGTAGAGCTAGATCTTCCCTTATCCCTCCACTCCTCTGTTTCCAAATCAAACTTTTAGTATCATTTTTTGGCTTGTCTTGTCCAATTCTTTGTCTAAGGCAAGAAGGACTGGGAACTGTTAACTGGTGAGCCATTTCTAAAGGAACTACCTGTAACAATCCTCTCCCAAATTAGCAGAGGTGGCTAAATCTTGGGACAGAGGCAAATGTCTATAATTAGCCAAACCTACAGAGCATCACTGAAAAGCAGATATCAACTGTTATGGATTATATCTAGATATCCCCCCAAAGCCTCATGGGTGGGGCTTATTGGAGGTGGTGTGTGCTAGGATGTGTGCTGCTGGGATCAAGAATGTGAGACAGGATTGATTCATGGTGCAATGGTAGGATTAAGAATGTGAGGAGAAGGGTGGGTAGTACGGATAGAGGATAGAGGTAGTACAGAAAGAAGGCTCGTTGCCTATCACTTTCTGCCTGCCCTGTTTTCCTGTGGACTGTTTCTCCTCTGCCATGCCACCCTGCCTTGGAGCCACCTGATTATGGACTGATACCTCTACAAAGTGTGAGTTGAAATAAACCTTTCCTCCTTTAACTTTGGGTGTCAGGTATTTTGTCTCAGCAATGAGAAAAGTAACTCAAAAAGCAATCCAGATACTGGTGTACAGAGAAAACCACTTAATAGCAACAGTTAGGCTAGGGATTTAGCTCAGTGGCACACCAACTAAAGCAGTTTCCATTGTAGCAACAAAGTCTCTCCACTGTAATCAATCTGGAAAATGCAGTTTGTATGTGCATGAGTGTACACACACACACACACACACACACACACACACACAAAAGAGACTACAAGGCAACAAAATGCCCCCAAACTCCCAAATTTTCCCAAAGCTGATTCAGAAGGCATTAAAAGAGAAGAAGTCAAAAGTCACACATCTAAATTTTTCTTCTTCACACAGGGTTGTGCTATGTAGTCCAGGAAGACCTCGAACTCACTATATAGCCCAAGCTAGCCTCCTGCCTCAGCTTTCTGACTGCTGGGATTATAGGCATGTGCCACCATGTCTGCTAACAACTGAATTACTTGAAATTGTAAGAGAGATGAAAAAAAATAGATCGATAAGGTGCCTGGAGAGTTCAAAGAAGGTATAACTAAACAAATAATGGAATTAATAAATAATCAACAAATTTATAGAAGATACTAATATAGCTGAACTAAATAGGAATGACCAATTTAGCAAAGAATTAAGAGTCTATAAAATGTTACCAAACAAGTCCAGAAGATTTCTACTAAAATATGGGCAGCAGAAACAACCAGTATGACAACAGAGTAGCAGAACTAGAAAACAGGGCTGATGTTGGCAACCAGTTACTCTGAGACACCTTAAAGACAACAAGAGAACATAAAAAATGCATTCAATAGCTGCTACCTGACACTAAGATTTATAGGAATTAGTGAAACATTTGAAGATAGAACAAATAGCATAAAAATCCTGTTCAGCGAAACCACATCAGAAAACTTTTCAAATAAGGGAAAGGAATTTAACACACAAATAATTAAGGAATATGGAACCCCAAAAAGCCACAATAAGAAAAGAACCTCTCTAGAACACTTCATAGTCAAAATTCTAGAAGTCTAACATGAGGAAAGAATCTTAAAAGCTGAGAATACATCTTACCATTTCAATGAATCACCTATTAGAATTACAGCAGACTCTCCACACAAACCTTCAAAGTTGGAAGGCTTAGAGCAAAGTGTTCCAACCCCTGTAAGAAAACAACTTTCCAGAATGATATATCCTACAAAATTATCTTCAAAATTGATGGAGAGGCCACTGTGCTCTTTCACGGTGGTCCTCATGCTGTAGTATATTTCTTTTTCAACTTTGGCCCAAACTTGCTCTGCAGGGCCTGTTTCTTTTCCTACCCTTTAATAAAACTTTGCTACTATGAAAAAGTGTTTCTGATGGAGAAATAAGATAGTTTCATGACAAATTTGTGTTTTGCTCATGTTTTGAGATAGCAGGAGGCTGAGATTAAGGATGACAGATTGATTAATCTGGCAGAAGAAATTTCAAGGCAGTCTAATGTTGAGTTGGTAGCATGGATACTGTTTGGAACCTTCAAATAGTTCTACTTTGAGAATTAGAATCAAAGGGCCCAGAAGAGCTGGAGCACAGCCGGGCATGGTGGCACATGCCTGTAATCCCAGCACTATGGAGGCTCAAGCAAGGGGATGGCTAAGAGTTTAAGGCCAGCCTGGGCTATATAGCAAGACGGGGTCTCAAAAAAGAAAAAGAAAAAAGAAAAAAAAAAAAAAGATGGAGCAGAAAGGAACTTGGTTGCTGAAAGAATTAGCATTAAAAAAAGGAGTACTTTGGAATAGGAACATAGCAAAGATGGCCTGAGGGTATAACAAGGACCAGCAGGACTCAAAATTGCAAAGGTAAATAATTTTGCTTTGAGAAGAGGGCTCCAGGATACTAAAATGGCAGCAGCCTGTCAAAATGGGGATAGACTCCTCAGAATTCAGTTTACTTTGCTCAGTTATCCAGGCACTCTGAGGCCTCTGCAACTATCAGCAAGACACAAAAGGGGTTAGCTACTCCTACAGCTGGTGGCAGACCTTACTGTCATCCATATGATACTGGTTTTAGGTACATGGAAAATTCAAGAGTTGTGGGCTCAGAAAGGCTACCATTCAGATTTCAGAAAAAGGCCTGGGAGGCCAGGCAGTATGTCCCTGAGTGGGTAATTCATGAAGCTATGTGAAGCCAGTGTGCAGAGTAGGTCCCAAGATGTTGGAAAAAGCAGGAATGTAGAATGTCTAAGGAAAGCTATGAGGAGTGAGCAATGCCAGGCAAGGTGACAGGCCATGAGAGAACTGGCAGTGATACAAGGATAGGGCTATCTGAGCTCTTTGGAATTTGCATCTTGCCAGTGTCCCAGGTGCTAGACTTGGAAATAGAAAATTTAATGTTTGCCCTGCTTGATTTTGGTCCCATTCCTTTCTAGCCCTCTAGTACTTCATTTTGGAATGGGAATATTTATCTTGTGCCATGTATGTTGGAAATATTTAATTTTCATTTTTCTAGGAACTTGCAGCTAACAGTTTGCCTTAAATTTCAGAGAAGTCTTTGGATTTGGACTTTTCAGCAGTGGTGAAACTGCTGGAATTTTGCTGACTCTTAGAAATGTAATAATGCATTTTACACAAAAGGATGTACATGAATGTTTTGGGGCCTAGGAATAAAATGTTATGGTTTGTATCTAGGTGTTCCCTCATGGACTCATACAAAACTTCTGGGAAGTTAAGGGATTGTGAGCATGTTATACTGGTCATGACTGTGTGACACTTAATTAGTCCACTGATGGGTTTATAGCTGGGTGTGATATTAGGAGGTAAATCATGGTGGGAAGAGGCAGGTCACTGTGGGTATAGCTTGGAAGGATATCTATTCCTCCTCCTTCCTTGATTCCTCTCAGGTTCCTGCCTGCCATACTATAAACTGTTTCTCCTTTGCCATGTGCCCTGTCATGCTGCCATATCTTGGAACCAGCTGACTACAGACTGAAGTCTCTAAAAACAATGAGCCTTTAACTTGTGGGTGTTAGGTATTTTTCTCAGAAGTGAGACAGTAACTAAGACAGCAATCTTGGGCAATAAGAGCAAAGTGGAAGGCATCACAGTCCTGGACTTCCAAGTTGTATTACAAAGCTACAGAGATAAAAAACATAACATGGGGCTGGGGATTTAGCTCAGCAGCATAAGTGTGCCTGGCAAGTGTGAGATGGTGAGTTTGATCCCCAGTACCAAAAAAAAAAAAACCAAAAAAAATTAAATTTAAGGGTTAGGGATTTAGCTTAGTGGCATAAGCGCCTGCCCTGCAAGTGCCACAGTGAGTTCAATCCCTGGTACCTTAAAAAAAAAAAAGGTACTGGCACAGAAACAGAGAAGTGGATCAAGGGAATAGAACAAAGGACACAGAAACAACCTGAGTCATATTTAGCTATCTACTCTATGAAAAAAGGGCCAAAACCATATGCTGGAGGAATGATAGCCTGTTCAAATGGTGTTGGAAGAATTGGCTATCCACATGTAGAATACTAAATCTAACCCCCTTTTCTCACCAGATATTAAAACTAAAATCCAAATAGATCAAAGATCTAAATGTTAAAACAGAAACCATCTGCTAGAATATAAAATAGGTGAAACTCTTGGAAGGCATAGGCCTAAATAAAGACTTTCTTGAACAGAACCTCAACTGCAAACAAACAACAAAATCAACAAATGAGATTAGATGTATCAAATTCAAAAGCTTTCTGCACAGCAAAGGAAACAGAAACTTATAGAATGGGAAAAAGATTTTGCTATCTTTTCCTCAGAGGACTAATGTCTACAAAAATATATAAAGAACTAAAAAAAAAAATCAAAGCTCCAGCAGTGCGTGATGGTGCACATCTGTATCTTGGCACTTGGCAGGCTGAGACACTAGGATCACTGTGAATTCACATCCAGCCTAGGCTACACAGGGAGACCATGTCACACACACAAAATAAAACAACAACAACAAAACCCCCCCAAAAAAATAAGCAATTAAAATGAAAAGAGTTACTCCTCAGAAAAATTACAAATGGTCAATAAATAATGAAAAAATGTTCGTATCACTGGTCATTAAAGAAATGCAAATTTAAACAACACTGAGATTCCATTTTACTCCAGAAAGAATGCCATCATCAAGAAATTAGTAACAAATGATGCTGAGGCGTTGGGGAGAAAAGAACCATTGTATATTTAATGGGAACATAAACTAGTATAACCACTATGGAAGTCAGTGTGGAGATTCCTCAAAAACCTAAAAATAGAAATTCCATTCCATCCAGCTATTTCCCTTCTAGGTAGCTTCCCAAAAAAGCTGAAAACATATTACAGTGATACATGCATACCTGTATTTACAGCAGCACAATTCATAATAGCTAAATCTTGGAAGCAGCCTGTATGTCCATCAACAGATGAATGGATATAGCAAATGCAGTATTTATACACAATGAAGCACTACTCTGCCATAAAGAAAGATTAACTTGTGTCACTTGTAGGAAAACGGATGTATCTTTACACAATAATGTTAAGTGAAATAAATCAAATAAGATTAAATGGTTTTTATTATATATGAGAAAGCCAAAATATAAAGAGAACAAAATAAAAGCAGGAAATGGGGAGATAGATCTTTTGCAAAAGAGAAGTGAAACAGATGGATAAAGGAGGGAAAGAAACAGCATAAAAAAGAGAATTAAGATGTGTTATGTATATATCTAATTCCCCATGAGGTACTACATTTGTACTATAATCATGTACTAATAAAAAAAAATGAAATTACTTTTATTTAGAGAAGTTTGATTTTAAAGAATTCTGCTGAACATTAACAGGATTCTTTGCAGCACTGGATCCAAAGTCAGATCCTAGGGCTGGGGATTTAGCTCAGCGGCATAAGCGCCTGCCTTGCAAGCAGGCAGTCGTGCGTTCAATCCCCGGTACTGATAAAAAAGAAAAAGACAAAAAAAAAAAAAAAAAGAACAAAGTCAGATCCTAGTTGCTTGTGTAAGGCAAAAAGACTTTTCAGCCTGTGGGATCAAAGAATCTCTTGACAGACAGGACATGAACAAGAAGCCAGTATTATCAGAGTCTAAGCCAGTGGTGGTGAACTTATGGCATGCATGTCATGGCAGGCTGTTTGTATCACTGAAAGCTCTAAGAGGTTCATTATCACTGGTCTGAACCAAGAGCACTATGAGAGGAGCTACCAGTTCCTAGCAGATTATGATGATTTTCCTTTATTTTTTAACTGAAATAGTTTTTATTTTTGAAATGTAAACTTCTCCAGTTTAGGATCTAATAAAAGAATTCAAAACACTGGACTGTGCTATTTTGCTGTTGGCTTAAGTGTTCTTAAGTTTCCAAGCCTTACCTGAAGTAGTAAATTTCATCATCTACCACTTTAGCTGAGAGGGAAAACCTTTTCAGTCCCTTGAATTTCTTCATCTGCTTGTCACTCTCATTGTAGCGGCTCTCACAAAGCATAATGTCATTTTCTGGTATTTCAGTTGGCCTGCAGGAGAGGAAGTCTTTGAAGGATAACACAGCACACTTTCCTGAAAGAGCAAGTTGGAGAGAAATTAAAGGAATAAATTGTGGTCATATTTTTTAATTAACACATAATTCAAAAATAAAGATATATACAGGATATATGAGGATAGATTTTGCAGATCAGTATGAGAAAGAATTGAAAGTTTAGGCAAAGATCCATATATGAGTGCATTTTCTTGTGGGGAGGCAACTGATTTTTTTCTCAGACTGAATCCAGGGCCTGTGTTCACTATGCATGAACTCTATCACTAAGCTATATCCTCAGTCCCTGTACAACTGGTTTCTCTTTTTCTTTTTTTAACATTTTGAGACAGGACCTCACTAAGTTTCCCAGGCTGGTCTCAAACTTGGAATTCTCCTGCCTCAGCCTCCCACTGTTTTGGAATTATAGGTGTGCACCTCCACAACCAACTCCACAACTGATTTTCAACAAGGGTACCAAAATAATTCAATGAAGGAAGGAATCATTTCTTCAACAGATGGTAGTAGAACAAATAAATTTCCACATGCTAAAGAATGAAGTTGGATTTTTCACCTCATAGCATATTAAAAACAAAAACAAAACCCCCAAACCAGAATGGATCAAAGATCTAAATATGACAACTATTCAATTAGTAGACGAAAATCCAGGTATAAATCTTTGTGATTTTAATTAGGTAACAGTTTCTTAAAGACACTGACCCTGGGGCTGGGGATTTAGCTCAGCAGCATAAGCGCCTGCCTTGCAAGCCCATGGTCGTGAGTTTGATCCCTGGTACCGGTAAAAAAAAAAAAAAAAAAAAAAAAAGACACTGACTCTAATAGAGCACCACACACAAAAAAGAAAGATACACTAGACTTCATCAAAATTAAAATAAAAAGGACTGGGGATGTAACTCAGTAAGAGGCCAGGGTATCAATCTCCAGGTATTCCACCTGTACAAGTGAAACACAAAGTTACTGTATGATTCAGCAATTCTACTTCTAGGTATATATCTGAAAGAATTGAAAGCAAAGGTTCAAATGTACCTGTAAACCAATAGTCCTAATAGTGTTGCTTACAATAGCTAAAATGTAGTAATTGCCCAAATAGCCATCTAAATAGATGAACTGGTAAAGGAAATGTTGTATATGTACATTATGGAATATTACTCAGATTTAGAAGGGAATAAAATTTTGAGACATGCTACAACATAGATAAAACTTGAAAACACTATGCTAAGTAAAACAGACCATATATAAAAGAAAAAGTATCAAATGATTCCATTTATATGTTGGATACAGGATTATATACAGGATACGTAAATTTATGTGGACAGTAGAATAAAGAAGAGAGAAGTAGAGAGTTATTATTTAATGGACACAGAGTTTCTATTTGGAATGATACAAAAGTGCTAGAAATAGTCAGTGGCAAGGGGCTTAATGCTAGTGAACTGTATACTTGAAAACAGTTAATTTTATGTTATGTACATTTTACCACAATCAAGACTCCTACAAATGGTAGCATATCACTTACACTGATTGATTGATTGATTGACTGATTTTGGGTACTAAGAATTGAACTTAGGATCTTGCACTTGCCAGGCAGATACTGTGCCACTGAGCTATATCCTCAGCCCACTTATACTGACTTCAATCTAAACTTTGTTGAAAAATATATTTTGGGCATTATTGTTTGCATTATTCAACTAGTTATTCCTGATGATGTTTAGGTTATTTCCAAATTTCTACTCTTTTACTGAAGCTAAACATTGCTGAAATAAATAATTCAACACATGTAACAACTAGTACATGATAAATACATTTGAAGCCTAAATTTCTAGAAGTATAAATGCTGGGTCCAAGGATATGTATATACGATTTTATTTTTACAAGTATTTTAAATTACGTTCCTTGGGCTGGAGATTTAGCTCAGTGGCTCAAGCACTTGCCTGGCAAGCTTGAGGTCATACCAAAAAACAAAAACAACAAAAACCAAATTACCTTCCAAAGAGGTTGACTAATTAAGATTAAGTGCAGAGTGGCTAAATACAACTTCCCTATGCTCTTATCTGTCAACTAGTAACAAATGTCTGGACCCTAGACAATTTGACAGGTCATCTTTAAAAAAAAAAGAAAGAAAGGAAAGAGCATGTATTTTTTTTTTTTTATTTTAAAGGGGGTAAAATTAAACACAACAAAATAGGACATAGGAAAGCAATGTAAGAGATATAAATTTCAAAGCTAGATGACCTGAGATCTTTACTGTCTATCATATTGTCTCTTGTTTTCTTCCAAATATTTGTCCATGTCTTCGCATACAGAGAATTCATACAAAACAACATAGTAATAAAGAATGAGGAAGGCGTTTTAGGTCTTCAAAATCAGACAACTGGGAAGTCACTAATGGCTGTCCATAAAGTCTCTCGTTCTCAATAGCTATCTCTACTTTCATGTATACTGAAGTTCAACAAAACAAAACAGGCAGAGGGGGAAAGGTTGCTTGTTTTCCCCTCGATCTAGGTCCCAGCATGGCATGAGTCCCAGGAAATGCCAGTGACTCCTGTCCTGGGCTGCTGTAGCCTGCCATGGTCACAGCCACTCACCGGGGGGGAGGGGTTGCTTGGTTTCTTGGTGCTCCAGGTCCTGGCAAGGCTCAGGTCTCAGTAAATGCTGGTGGCTCCCATCCTGGGCTGCTGCACCCTGCCATGCTCACAGCTGCTCACCAGAAGGGGAAGGGACTGCTTGGTTTTTTGGTGCTCCAGGTCCCAGCATGGCATGGGTCCCAGTAACCAGTGGGTCCTGTCCTGGGCCACCGCATCCTGCCACACTCACAGCCACTCATGGGGGTGGGATGGGGGGAGGGGTTGCTTAGCTTCCCAGCGATCCAGGTCCCAGTATGGCATGGGTCGCAGTAAACGCAGTAAACGCAGTAAACAGGAGCCTGTGGCTCCTGTCCTGGGCCACTGCAGCCTGCCATGCTCACAGCTGCTCACGGGTGGTGGGTGGGTGTGTTTGCTTGGTTTCCTGGCGCCGCAGGTCCCAGTAAACACCAGTGGCTGGGCTGCCACATCCTGCCATGCTCACAGCTGCTCACCCAGTGGGGAGGGGTTGCTTAGTTTTCTGGCACTCCAGGCCCCAGCATGGCAGAAGTCTCAGTAAATGTTGGTGACTCCTATCCTGGGCTGCCGCAGCCTGCCATGCTCACAGCCACTCACCAGTTGGAGGAGGGGTTGCTTCAAGCTGTTTCTTTCTAATGAATTTACCATTTCACTGGCCAAGTTCTGAAGTGGCCAACAGACCATAGAAAGACATCTCTTTTGGCTCCTGCTTGAAACCAACAATGTCAGGAAGCTGCCGGCCTTGATTCAGGGCCAAAAGAAAGAGCATCTAGATAGTTTGTTTTGTATTATATGTATGAATGTATGTATGGGTATGTGTGTATATACACACATACTCATATGTTGAACTGTACAGGTATCTAACCTGCCTGGGCAGCACTGAGTGAAAAGGAATTGTCTTAGACTGCATATAAAATATACAATACAGTTAACATATACAAGTAAAAAAACCTCTTTTTTTATATTTTCACTTAATAAATTATTTTACAAAGTAACACAGTAAGCTCAAGTTTGATAATTAAGTAAAAAAACCTTGTATGTCTGCTTAATAGCAATGAATGCATTTTCAAAGACACACATGTAGGTAGGCTAGAATAGTATTATAAGTAATCATTACATTTTATGTTCCAAGTCACACAAGAGCATGTAATGTTGATAAATGTGGCTTCCTATTCAACTGGCTACATAGGGGGCACAGGCAGCGGCGTTAACACTGCACTATGCTCCCCCTACCTAGTGTTTCATTGTCACCTATGCAGTCTGTGCTTGAGCACTGTAAAACTGAATCAAGAAAAATATCACTAAAAAAACAAAACAAAATAAAACATAATAATGTTAAAAGTTTATGGCCTTTCCAGGTCTGGTAGTGACTTCTGCATTCCCGACGCTCTAGGAGAATGAGGCAAGATCTGAGTTCAGCCTGGGCAATGTAAGTGACTTAGTAGGAATCTATCTCAAAATGAAAAGGCCTGGGCTGGGGATTTAGCTCAGCGGTATAAGCGCCTGCCTTGCAAGCAGGCAGTAGTGAGTTCGATCCCTGGTACCGATAAAAACGAAAAAAAAAAAAACACCAAAAAACAAAAAGGAAAGGCCTTGGGGGTATAGCTCACTGAAAAAATTCTGGGTATAGTTTCTGGTACCAGAGCAGGAAAAAAAAAAAAAAAAAGTATGATCTTGTGGGTTGTATTACTACTGGTCTAAGGCTGGGGGTTTGGAAACATGAGCACTAGACTAAGATTGGGCATATTTCCATTTCATGACTGCTGATAATTTCTTTCTGTTCTTTCTTGCTGTTTTCTGTTAGGCATGATTTTCTTCTAATTGTTTCTAGGAGCTCTTTATATGTGAAAGAAAACTGATCTGCATCTGTTATATATATTGCAAATATTTTCTCAAGGTTGTCACTTGCTTCCTCCAGTTTTGGCCATGTAGAGATTTTCAACTTTTCTGTAGTTGAATTTATCAATCTTTTCTTACATGGGCTCTGGATTTTATTTGCAAGAACACAAACACTTCTTCTGGGCTGGGGATTTAGCTCAATGGCATAAACATCTGCCTTGCAAATGTGCAGTTGTGAATTGGATCCCCGGTATTAAACAAAACAAAACAAAACCCTCTTCCCCTTCGTTTCTTTTGCTATCTTTAATGCTTCACACTTCATATTCATTGAAATCTTTAATTTAATCTGGGAACTTACAAAAGTAAGATGGGACATAAATATAATTTTATTTTTTCAAATAGTTATCCAGTCTCCAACTATCACTTAAAAATCCATGTTTTCAGGGGCTGGGGATTTAACTCAGCGGCATAAGTGCCTGCCTTGCAAGCAGGCAGTCGTGAGTTCAATCTCCGGTACTGGTAAAAACGGAAAAGATAAAAAAAAAAAAAAAAAAAATCCATGTTTTCCTACAGTTATTTGGTGTGTC